TATTACATCCCACCTTGCTTAGAGCAACATTTTCAACTTTGTCCCCTGCCATCCAAACAAAATGCAGCCACTATCCTCATCTTCCTTATCTGACTAGATCATGTCACTCCCCTCGTCGAATCTTTCCATCTGCTAGTGCATCAAGTTTAAGCTTCTTGTCATTATCTTCAAAAGCCTATCCCACCCTACTCAGAGGTACAGTGTCTGTGTGGTTAAGGCACTCACCTACAATCTTGAAAGTCATGGGTTTGAGTCTCACTCACTCACACACAGAAAGGCCACCTCCAGTTTACCCAGCTTCAAAATGGGTAACTGATGCATTGGATTCAAACTTTTTTTCTTGGGACCCAGCTGAAAATTGTTGATGCCCGCGACCCAACAGAGTTGGGGATGACGGGCTCAGTATGTGGGAGGGGCTCAGGGCTGAGGCAGAGGGTTGGGGTGCGGGGGTGAGGGCTGCAGGATGGGGCTGGGGATTCCCTGGATTACACCTGGATTCCCCCACCCCCACCCCAAGGATCCTGCTAGGCTGAGCCTGCCTGCACCACTCCTGGATCAGAGGCCAGAGCTTGACATGCATGCAAGACTCTGCCCCTCTTGCTTGCTATCTTTGTGCACTTGGCGTGGAGGGGCAGGGCCCCAGGTGTTTTTGGGGCAGGCCTGGCCCTTGCACTGTGTCAGGGTTGGGTGCAGCTTCATCTCCAAGTCCGTGTCCCGTGGAGAGAGAGAGAGAGAGAAAATCTGTTAACATACCAGGCTTTTGACCACCTTCAGTAATTCCTCCATTACCACAGCGATGCCCTGGTACCCAAGGAGCCTGCAAATGACTTTAAAGTGAGGGGGACCAACAAAGTTCCTGTAGTTGCTGTAAATGCTGGAATATGTCAAATTCAAAGCCTGATGGGAGAAAAAAAATAGTATTAACAAAAAATAACTCAATTTCCTGCACTGTCAAAATCTCTCATTGGATACAATGTACATTACTTTTTGTGCAATATTTTTAAGTAGGGCTGTCAATTAATCACAGTTAACTCATGCGATTAATGCAAAACAAATAAACTAGACTAAAAAACAGTCACAATTAATCAGTTTTAATAGCATGGTTAAACAACAACAGAATACCAATTTATATTTATTATAAATATTTTTGAATGTTTTTCTATATTTTCAAATATAATTATTTCAATTATAACAGAGAATACAAACTGTACAGTGCTTGTTTTATATTACTTTTATTATCAATATTTGCACTGTAAAAAAGATAAAACAAAATAAATGGTATTTTTCAGTTCAGCTCATACAAGTTCTGAAGTGAAATCTCCAAATGTAGAATTATTTTGTTTTACATAACTGCATTCAAAAACAAAACAATGTAAAATGTTAGCGCCTACAAGTCCACTCAGTCCTACTTCTTGTTCAGTCAATTGCTAAGGCAAACAAGTTTGTTTACATTTATGGGAGATAATGGTGCCAACTTCTTGTTTACAATGCCTCTTGAAAGTGAGAACAGGTGTTTGCATGGCACTGTTGTAGCCAGGGTTGCAAGATATTTACATGCCAGATATGCTAAACATTCATATGCCCCATCATACTTCAACCACCATTCCAGAGGATGTGCTTCCATGCTGAATTTAAATTGGTAGTCTATTATTATTTAACAGTGTGATTAAAAAAATAGTTGTGATTAATCACAGTTTTAATAATTTGACAGTGCTATTTTTAAGCATATTAAATTATACAGAATTCAGACAGAACTTTGCCTCTTTAGCTCTAATATAGAAGATGAGTTTCAAAGCTTCCTTTTAAAACAGAAGACATGACTGACTAAAATGTTCCTTAATAAGCTGAATGTAATAAACGCTAATTGTTGATGACTGGACATCTTCCACTTACTATTTATACTACCACTATAATTCCTCCCTCAATTTTATGACTACACCATGTTAAAAGGGCACAAAAGTGGCTCAAGCTAATATCTCAGTGGTTCTCAACCAGGAGTACACGTAACTGTGGGGCTATGCAGGGATCTTCCAGGGGGTACATCAACTCATCTAGACATTTGCTCAGTTTTACAACAGGCTACATAAAAAGCACTAGCGAAGACAGTACAAACTGAAATGTATACTGCTCTATATACTATACACTGAAATGTAAGTACAATAATTATATTCCAATTTATTTATTTTATAATTATATGGTTAAAATGAGAACATAAGCAATTTTTCAGTAATAGTGTGCTGTGACACTTGCGTATTTTTATGTCTGATTTTGTAAGCAAGTAGTTTTTAAGTGAGGTGAAACTTGGGTACACAAGACAAATCAGACACCTGAAAGGGATACAGTCGTCTGGAAAGGCTGAGAGCCACTGATCTAGATTACCAAACATAACTGGAGCATATCCTGGTACTGTAGTTTCACTTACAGAACATTTGGGGGGAAAAAAATCAATAGAAACTGTTACGGTTTCCATTTAATGTTGTCTCATGTAACGTTCTGAAGGCTCGAGTAAGTAAAATCAGATTTCTAAACTTAGTGATCACTACAACTAATTGATAAAGGTTCTCATTTGAGCTCATAATACCTATAAATGGACACGTGACACAGGCTGACAGAAATTCTGTCAATTAATATACAAGGCAAGATCCTTAGCTGTTCTCGATCAGTGTTTTTTTCACCTCAGTCAATATAACTATGTAGACTTATACCCTCTGAGAATCTGGAAAATGATTTCTAACTCACATTGGGGCTCGGATGAGAGCTTGCTGTCAAACTCCACTTATATGAGAGGGGTAATATTTGCAGCATGGAGAAAAGCAATCATAGGAAGTGGCAGAGATTATATTGGTTCCTTCTTTCACAGGAGCTTGCCCATCTTTTGTTTCTGCAGGTTCTGTTGGATCCGCTTTGCTTCTCCTCAGTATTCACTGATTTTAAGACATGAGTGCAAGCTAATTGTACTATTAAATCCTGGGCTGCTCAGAAAGCAGCTGTGACCAAGGTCTGGTATACACTTATAATTTTGGTTGGAATAGCTATGTTGCTCCAGGGTGTAAAAAATCCATGCCCGTGAGCATTGTAGCTATGTGGACCCCACCTTGAGTATAGACACTCTTATCACCTAGGGAGGTAGTGTTGCTATACCAACAGACAACCCCTTCTGTTGGGGTAGGCTGCATCTACACTACGGGGTTATATTGGCATAGCTATAATGCCATAGCTGTGCAGGTATAGTCCTCATAATGCAGACATGTTCCAAGAGCGCACCTAGGGAGAAGAGCGTGACCTCTCTCCGATATTGAGCCCACCACAGTTATTCATGCCCTTGCCAGTCAAGACTAGATTTTTGTAATATGCTCTCTGTGGCTATACAGTGAGGCCACTTGGGAACTAAACTAATAAGCAGGAAGCTGGATTCCACCAACTTTTGAACAACTGTCTACTAAAGAAAAGCAGTTACTTGTCAGCATTTAAAAACATGCAGCTGTTGTAAATGTATACGCTATAAAACATATAAGACATAAGATGGCCAAGTTAAATGTTGGTGTTGGAACCTTAACTTTCCCATTTCCAGACTCTGATTTTAACTGAGCAACTTTGTATTTAATATTACAAAATATGCACAGAAAATATCCAACAAGTTAACATTATTTCAGCTAACTATTACAGAAAAGGAGTTACAACCAACCAAGTATTTTTGTACTCTGGAGATCCAGAAGTTTCACTTCACCTTATTTTTAATGTTATCACATTTCTTCTGCTCAGGGAGCTGTCTCCGCTAGAGTGAACAGACTACACAGTGAAATATGTCCCTCTATCGTATTTTAAATTACAACTATTGACACCTGTTACAGATTGCATATTTATAATGATGGGGCGGGGATATTTTCTCAAATTATTTAGCCATTCTTTTTGTGAACTCAAACTGCAACAGATGTTTGGAAGATTACCAGAATCCACAAAGGACACTGCTCAGGAAGAAGCTAAAAATCCTGTTATTAGATCATAGCTGATTGAAATACTGAATTCTAAATTAACACTGACTGGCAGAGAGCCCAAAACTACAACTGAGTATTAAATGCAAAACTGCACAAACACATGCAGAAGTAGGGACTGGGAAATCAAATGGGAGTGGTACTGGTAAAGCTTGATGAATGCTTGAAAAATATTTAATTTTACAAACCATGCTACTCCTGATTTATGCTCTTATTTCAAGTGTAGCTAGCTTGCCGCAGCAGCTTGGTTCCTGGGCTATTTTCTTGATTTGCTGTGTCCTTGCAAGAATAGGTACCCTATTTATGATTGCTAAAATAATGTATGACAGCAGATGACTCAATAAACATTCAAGTAAGAGAATAGCTGATGGAATATCCTTTATCTCTCTTCTATTTAGGTCTTTAACTGATAATAGACAGGTCTGTAATGGAGCAACCTTAGTCTACAAGTTTGTTGCCTATTGATACTGATGAAGTACAGAGTTAATTTTCCCAAACGTTTCATAAAACATTAAACAGACTTTAAAAACCAAACACAGATGAATGCTTCAGTATACTGGATACTATAAAAAAAATTATCCCTAAACACAGAAGCTTTATATTTCACAGTAATGGTTTTAATTGTTGCATTCATTTGTTCTTGGGGTTTATAACTTTGTAGATTTTGAGTAACAAAAATATCTGCACTACAGAACATCCCAGTGTAGAGACGATTTTCCTTTATCAAATTATACAGTATTTTATTATTCTACAGATGTTTAGAGTGAGGAGAAAGGGTACAGCTGCATACTTCAAGGAAGAGAATAGTTATGAAAAAGCAGGCACTAAAATATTCTTCAAAAAACCAGGCAGAAGAATCAGAAATAGCCAGCCTACAAAAATACTATATTTCCCCATGAATATTTGGACATTTTACATCAAACATGTAAAGCAGTTTGGAACAATCCACCAGTAAATGATGGATTAGTGGCGCATTATAAAACTGTGGCAAGGGATTATTAAAAAAAAATAATAAAAAATATTGCAGAGGAATACAAAAAGACTAAAGCAGAAACCTGAAACAGCAAAGTTCTCATTAATCACTGGGAGAAGCTTGCCTTTTTTTAAGCTATTGCTTCCCCCACATCCTTTCACTAAAAAAAACTCCAAAAAACAAAACAAAACAAAAAAAAACCAACCAAACATCCTGTTCTGCCGATGTCACAAAAGTGCTAGCCTTATTCACTCACAGCATCACTGAAGCAAGCCTAGGTACATACAGAGCAGCATGTAACTGGAGTGCTCATACACTATATTGTCCAAGAGGTAGCGAGTGAGAGAATGTATGTCTTTTTTCCTGCATGTTCTTTAAAAACCTAGGCAACAGGCTACTTAGACAAGATGTGTTCATGTACGAATTTAAGTAGAAGAGAAAGAAACAGTGTCACCAGCATCCCTGGAGAATAGAATTGCAAGTGTCAAGCAACTAGAATTTAGTCCAGAGAATCTGAGAGAGAAAACTGGCAAGTACAGATCATGAAGGAGGAAATCACCTACACAAAAGGACACAGAAAATCTCAGTTTTCAGTTTTGCAATCTCTCCATCTGAAAATCTTATTCTAAGGATTTATATCAGGAAGTGAAGGTCAGTAAAGATTTTATAATGAATAAAATACTAAGTTAATTTTTCAAACATTAGGATATCATGTTATGTACATTACGTCTAAATAGTAAAATGTAATTAATGCTTGCTAACAAAACATTGTGATTACATTTAAAAAAAATAAAAAACCAAAATTCTACTCAAATAGCTCTGAGAATGAGATGATGGATTCTAAATATGATCAGGCAATATTTAAAAAAAATCTTTTTACTTAAAATGTAATTATCTAGGATCTATTTAACTAAAACTTGATATGGGACTCAAGAGCAACTAGATGCTCTGATATTATAGTGTAGACCACCGTATAGATACCTAAGAGACTTAAGATGGATGGCCAAGTTTAGTATTATAAAAACCACTCTAGTCTGTGGTGTGCCCCCATCTGTTTATCCAATGAGTTTATTCAATGGCAAACTCATTTCTTTGAAATTGATGCAGCTGTTTCATTGCCTATATTTTATGGTGGTTAGAAAGAAGGGCACCTACATTCTTGGGGGTGGGTTGTTTTGTTTTTGTTATTTTTTAGAACTGCCTATATAATTTAGATGGGTGTGTTGGCATTTATATTTTAAAAATATGTTTATTGTTGTATTGTAGATGAGCATATGCCTTCTGTTCTTCCCAAATAAGCAAAATACACAAACTGCAACTGAGAATTCTGAGAAATATGTCCCCACATATGAGTAGCAGTTTTGTTTTTTTTAAGGACTATTGTGCTTCAATGAAAATGGTGCATAAGGTACAGTTATTTTAATGTGATCCTCAGATGGGTAATTTTTCCAGTGGTTTTTCCAACTTAAAAAAAGAAAGGTAGACAGACATGTGTACTACCTCACATAAACTTCAGAATATCTGCTATGTCAGAATTTTATAAGCTTCCATTCTCAGAAAAATTTTCCAATACTAAATTGTTATTTAGACAGGAGACAGAATCCATTACATCCACAATATGAAATAATATGTTCACACTGTAGTGAAATCACTAATCTTTTATTTCATAATCATTGCTAAAGTCATTTATGCTAGTAATTTAGCATAAACATTTCAAAAACACTTAAGTGCTTAGTATATGTCTACACTGCAGCCAGGAAATGTGAGCATACAGAAGGTCCTAGAAAAATTAGAGGATTGGGCCAAAAGAAATCTGATGAGGTTCAACAAGGACAAGTGCAGAGTCCTGCACTTAGGATGGAAGAATCCCATGCACTGCTACAGACTAGGGACCGAATGGCTCAGCAGCAGTTCTGCAGAAAAGGACCTAGGGATTACAGTGGACAAGAAGCTGGATATGAGTCAACAGTGTGCCCTTGTTGCCAAGAAGGCCAATGGCATCTTGGGATGTATAGGTAGGGGCATTGCCAGCAGATCAAGGGACGTGATCGTTCCCCTCTATTCGACATTGGTGAGGCCTCATCTGGAGTACTGTGTCCAGTTTTGGGCCCCACACTACAAGAAGGATGTGGAAAAATTGGAAAGAGTCCAGCGGAGGGCAACAAAAATGATTAGGGGACTGGAACACATGACTTATGAAGAGAGGCTGAGGGAACTGGGATTGTTTAGTCTGTGGAAGAGAAGAATGAGGGGGGATTTGATAGCTGCTTTTAACTACCTGAAAGGGGGTTCCAAAGAGGATGGATCTAGACTGTTCTCCGTGGTAGCAGATGACAGAATGAGGAGTAATGGTCTCAAGTTGCAGTGGGGGAGGTTTAGGTTGAATATAAGGAAAAACTTTTTCACTAGGAGGGTGGTGAAACACTGGAATGCGTTACCTAGGAAGGTGGTGGAATCTCCTTTCTTAGAAGTTTTTAGGGTCAGCTCTCCAATAGTGCTCAATATTTAAGCCTCTGTAACTTCATACTATCAAAGTGATAAGCAATGTTGAATATCATGCTCCCTTTTCTGTTAAAGATATTTAAAATGTATGCAATTAACAAAAAAATTGTTCCATGATCTCTCATGTCAACAGACATGCGTACTACCTCATGTGTCCATTAAAAATTCTGACTGTTTAGTTTTTACACGGCAACCGAGTCAGGAGAAGATTTTCAAAAGGCACAAAGGGGAGTTAGGCACCCAACACCCACTGGATGTCTGTGGGAGTTTAGTGCTTTATGCTCATTATGCCTCTTTTGAAAGTTTCCCTCTTAATAAACAGAAGTTTTTAAATGATGGGTAATTTCACTCCCACTGGTGTATTGTCTGACTGCAGATTCCTTAGGATTGAAATATTCAGTGATTTACACAATAGTACCAAACATTTCTGCAACTGGAAAGGTATGAAAATACTCTATGATTTATTTTTCAAACAAATGCAAGTGCCAAAGATTCTCTTTGCTTATAGATTCAGACTGATCAGATTACTTCATTTTAAATTGCCCATAGAAAAATTAAAAGCACTGTTTCCTAATAAATTACTTTTCTAAATTACAGAACACTAATGTTTAAGAGCCACATAGTTCTTCTCCGTGGTGAAGCTTCTGGGACATCTCCTTATTTTTCTGGAACTGCAACTATAATCTTCCTTTCTTGTGGGGAGACAGTTGTGAAAAAATATTGAGTGGCATCACAATGGGAGTAACAATACAAAATGTAACAGGAAGCACAGCAATGGTAATTTGGCCACCCATGGCCATTTGTGATGACAGCTTTTACAGTATTATGTATCATCCCAACAGGAACAACATGCTGTCAGGTTATTCAAGAAAAAATTTTCAGAAAGAAGAGCGAGTGCCTGCTAGTCGGTCTTCATTTGTCATAGAAAACCTAACTCCACTAACCACCTACATATTGTGTGTAACCTGCCAATCTGCAAACCCCTCCAGTGACCAGTGCAGAATTTTTCACACATTAGAAGAAGATCCAGCATCTGCAAGCAACAAAAAAAAAGATCTGGCCCTGGGTATCTGGCTAACTAGCAGTATTCTGCTTCTCATCATTGCCGGGATCCTCCTTTACGGCTGCCTGCATATATGGTACCGCAAGAGACGAGAACGTGTAGAAGGACAAAACATGAACTCAGAACAGGACAAGGGGGAGGCTTGGACAATAAACAAGTCACACACCCCAGAGCAGTTTAACAAGCAAGGCAGATTAGTCCAAAGTGTTGAGGGTAAGAATGCAGAAGGTATCCAACTGGCTACCATAATAGAAAATCCCTTAACTTCTAAGGAGCCTACCATGCAAACTTCTAAAAGCCAGGAATTAGTGCCGATGACAATTGGGCCATTTTAATTGGTAAACACCACTGCACAGATTAACTGTGCACCATGTGTGAAATATTTTAACCTACAGGGTTCTATACCTTTTACAGTTTGCATTTGAGGTGTTTAATTATTGCTGATGCACTCTTATCAGCATTCTTAACCACAACTGCCCCTCCCACCATCACACGCACAGCTGGGAGGGTCTCAATATTAAGGTTTAGAACTTAGTATTCTCTTGATTTGATTAAGAAAATATTATCAAGCATATAGCATAGAAATCAAAGGGTATTCTTGATTTTTGTTTTGGAGGCAGAGAATAAGGTTTATTCTAAAACGGTAAACCAAAATAAATAAATGAATGAAAAGGACAAAGGGAGAATTATTATTAAATAATAAACCAAACTGAAAATTGCATACTGAGACCTGTATTCTCATGCTGCAGGCAGCTCGAATGCCCTGTATTAAATGACTACATCTATAATGGCCTGTCACGTTTTTTATCCACATTATTCAGAATCAGGTTGTACGTTGTACTTGACAGTTCCATTCAAAACAAGTTCTAGTTGTAGGACACCAGTTAAATTCATTGATATTCGAAAAAAAGGATTCCTATTTCACCCAATTTAAATATGCACTCAGGAAGGTGACACCAGCAAGAGGCACTCTAGTTACACCACCATGAGAGGTTAAGGTATTCAACGCTTAAAGCTGCAGTTTAATGCTTAAAGCTGCAGCTATAAGAGGGAAGTGCTCATTGCACAGCATTGAAAGGGGAGATCATGAGACCCAAAACCATGACTCATGATTGCTCTTTCCCTAAACTGAAGGGGGAGAACAGAACACAATGGCAGGTCTTTATCCAGCCACCAATTTCTGTTAATGTACCAAGAGTAAAAGCAGCTAGACTATGACTGAGTACATGTATTTTTGAGATTATGGAAATTTACATGCAACTACAGTTGTCCTGAAGATCTTGTCAACACTATCCTTGAACTGGAAATGTGGGCACCCTGGAAGAATAATACGTCCAGTGTTTTCACACATTCATCACATTCCACAGTTTTCAATCTATTAAGCACATATTTCTTCCTTTTAAATTGATATATTTTAGTGTTATTATATAATATGGTGTGTGTGTGTGTGTGTGTGGCTGTACAATATACTGTGATTTTATGCATTTATTTTAAACTGATATTAAAAGAATGTATATTGAAACTCAACATTCACTTAGCCAGCTTGATCTATTCCAGCAGACAAAGAAGGGCAACTGTTAGCATAGCCATTGCCATCAATTTTAACGGCTTTCTGGAAGCCAAGGTGGTCTATTACAGACAGGTCTGATAATGTAGCAGCCACTTAACACTTCACAGCAGGCTGTGTGGCTTTTCCAGCTACTCCACTCCTGAAGTGTTTCAACCATTCTGTGACTGATACTTCAGTTTTCTTAGTGCTAAGGTAGTCATACAGATGGAAATCATAGCTGGCACAATCAGAAAACAAATTTGCTCCATTCGTTTTGCCGTTGGGAGATAACACAACATAATTGTGTGCCAAATGGATGGTGACTCTCCTTTCATAGGAATATGCTCAAAATTATATTGCTGTACTCAGTTAACCTTTATACCTGGTCTGTAAATGTTAAATAATGTCACATACATTTTTTTTCAGTTGATTGTGTTGTCCTTTTGTCTTTTAAATAAACTGTGTCCGATGTTGAAAATTTACTGGCGTTTCAAATGGAGATAATTACCCAAAGCAAACACTAGCAACTGAAATAAAGTCTGCTCAGAAACTGAAGTTGTCCCTGCAGTTTTATCTCCAAAACGAATGCAGAGAAATAAACTACTGCATGCCTCTTTTTATCAACTATGATGAAATACTTGTTCTAGTTAAATTAATTCAGAGCAGAGAGACTCATATAGGGAGGAAAGATTATCCTGTGGTTATGACATAAGTCCATGAGATCAGAGACCTGGCTCTGTGCCCAGCTCTGCCAATGGCTTACAGCATGACTTTGCAAAGTTACTAATTTCTCTGTACTTCAGTTTCCTAATTTGTGACATGGGGACTGTCATCATTCCAGGCTGACTGGTGTGCCCCCTTGCAGGTAGGCATAGGGTTACAGGTAGGCATAGGGTTACAGGTGAGCCCTTACTAGATTTTCCCGATGCTAAAGAGCACCTCCCTGTGGAGGGTTTCATTTCTTAACAGGTCGAGGAAAAGCCAAAACAGAATATGAAACAAAACTTTCACTCCCCCCCCCTCCTGCAATATTTTAATGCCTTTCCCTCCCCCCCCCCCCCCCCCCCTCCCCTCCTTTTTTTCCCCCCCCCCCCCCCCCCCTCCCCCCCGGGGGGGGGGGGGGGGGGGGGGGGGGGGGGGGGGGGGGGGGGGAGCATCTCATAGTGTGGCTGATGTTATTAGGCCCTGTGATGGTGTCCCCTGAATAGATATGTGGGCACAATTGGCAACGGGCTTTGTTGCAAGGATAAGTTCCTGGGTTAGTGGTTCTGTTGTGTGGTATGTGGTTGTTGGTGAAAAGCCAAAACAGAATATAAACAAAACTTTCACTCCAGCATCTCATTTGGGTGACTAAGTCGTTCCTAGCCCTTCTGTCCCCGACCTGAGTCCAGGGCTTGTTTCCATCCAGGCTCTTTCCCCAAGATTGTCTCTGCCCCTGCGGTTAGGCCTACTGCTCCTACTGGAGTAAGACCCTTCTCTGGATTCAGAGGTCCAGGGAGGTCCAACCACTGCAACTCTTCTCTAGGACAGCAGCTGATCTTCGCCAGGGCAGTATCTTGGAGACCTCTGGCTGAGACCAGACCCTCCTCTCCAGACAGACTCCCCATTCTGGTGGGTTCCCCAGAGAACTCATCCTCTAGGCTCCCTACCCAGCCCTCTTGCTCAGGCCTCTTCTGGGAGCTCCTCTCCACAGGAGCATCCTGTCTCCCTTTGGAGTTTCCCTCTAATTGAGCTTGGATAACCTTTATTAGGTCCAGCTGCTTGGTTACTAATTAGCCATCTGAGGCAGTTAATAATCCCCAGGTAGGGCTGTCTCAAGCAGACAAGGCCCTAATTTCCCATTAAGGGCAGCTGCCCTGTGACAGGGACTCAACAAAATTCCCAAAGATTTAGAGAGGGTCAATTAATTGATGTTAGTATGCCACACTGAGATCCTTGATAGAAACTGCTATAGAAGTATTATATTATTTACAATTTTCAACTGTGATAAAATCTTTGTATTACTTCAGGCTTTTACTTATTACAGCCCTGTACACACAGCAATGACAAAAAATGTAGGCATTTAAAAGCCTAAATTGCAGTGTCTTTCAACAGGAATTAAGGACTTCAAGAGACAAGCTTTGAGCAGGGGGTTGGACTAGATGACCTCCTGAGGTCCCTTCCAACCCTGATATTCTATGATTCTAATATGGGTGAGGTATTGGATGAACTTCTGTTGGTGAAAGAGACAATCTTTTGAGCTACACAGAGCTCTTCTGATTTGGGAAAGGTACTCAGCCTCACAGCTAAATACACCATGGAACAGACTGTTAAGCCTAAATGCTTAAGTCAGTTTTGAAAATGCGACATAGGAGCTTTTGAAAGTTTCACCCTATATAGAATTAGAACATTCATAATCTTCTGCTCTGAGCAATATTGATTGATTTGGCTTTCTAACCTGTGAGAATCTGCAGTCAGATAATCTCTCTAATCTCTCAGGTTCACTGTGGTGGTCTTGTGTTTTGGCAGCTTGCCCTTCGATTAAATGAGAAGGTATATATTTAGAGTAACTACTGAGACTGCTAATAAGAACCAACTAGTGCAAATTAATATTGACCTGTGTCCACTAGGAAGTGAACTGAAACTACAGTGGTTTATATTAAATCAACAGAACAGCCAGACGGCCATGCTTTTTTTGTGTGTGTGTTAAGTACTAAGTGGTTTAGAGGTGAAAAGCTCATTGTACTATCTCCACTCCCCTAAGACATCAAATCCTCCTACCAAACTGTTATCAAAATAAGCTTCGTGTTCCTATGGTTATTTGCATAACACATAACTGACATTAACAGAAAAAAAGAGTGGCGAGGTTACAGATGGAAGAAGAGACACTCAGAATGCTCTACTTGTCGATTAATAGTTTCTCATCAAAGACAAGTATACATCATGAGTGAAATCCTGCCCCGATTAAGTCAGTGAGAGTTTTGCCATTGACTTTAATGAGGCCAAGATTTCACCCTATGTCTTTAATTTGGATGATGGAATATTTTTCCTCTACAAAATAAATTAGATGATATACACACAGAGCTCTGAAGACCTAACTGTATATTAACTGTTTAAGTATTAGTAAATCCTCTCTAAGCCAAAAGTAGCCTCTGTAGTGGCTGGTCTATATATTCCCCCATAAGAATTCTATGCTTCATAATCAGATAAAGCTAATCATGATTCTTAAGGTAATATTCTCCCAGTTGGGAGTTATACAATATTTTATATGGCCATCCAATGTTTCCTCCTCCTCCAGAGCCATCTCTCCATAACCTGATGGCAGTATGTCCCATAAGACTATTTGACTCTTGAATGAAATCAAGAGACATCATTCTGCATGCTCTCAAACATTCTCGCCAACATAAAGTCAGTCATTTTGCAGTTAGGTTTTTTTCTAGCTGACTGTTCCATTCCCAATGCCAGCCAGGAGGAGCAGTTCACAATATCCACTGGCCTATATCTCATTACTGATGTGAAAGCAGGGGCCTGTAGGTACATAATATCAGGTGTCCCTGATCCTCCTGTAGGAACTGACCAGTTAACCAGAAGAGCATGACAGGAAAGCATACACAAGCTGAAGTGTGTGTGTTCATTTCTTATCAGAAAATCTCCCAAATCAAAAAAGGTGGGGTGTTTTGTTATGGGTATTTTAAATTATTTTTAAAATACTTTGCTGACTGAAGGATGGGTTGCTAATCTTATCAGCAGTCACAGTGGGAGTTAATACCTCTTTTATTGCAGAGCTGTGAGAAGTTAAAGAAGAGAATGTGGTTGGGAGTGCTGGATGATGAAAAAGGGGAACTCAATGGCATGATCTGTCCTCAGTTCTCAGTTGGCTCCATTATTTGCAGATGGAGGGCATTTTATTTTGAAAGGGTTCTGCAACAGGTTAATCTTCTAGGTAAACAAGTTTAGCCTTGGAATCTGTAAATCTCTGAAAGTTCATCTCCAGCAGAGCATTCAGAATCTTGCATAATAATCCAAAGATTGCAGATATTTTTTTCCTGGACCCCAAATGCCCTACCACCATCATACATCAAATATTTTAAATTCAATAGTGAAGTTCTCTGCTGCAGGAAACACACAACAGGCATACACATTCGGACCATCATTCAAAGAAGGAGTAAAGAATATAATAAATCTAATGTGATGTAGAGTTCTGCTTTCCCCCAACACACTGTTCAATAACTGCTTGGAAGTGAATAGTCTAATTAAAATCACTACTTGTGGCAACACTCAGTTCAACTTTTAAATTTTCCATTTAAAGAAAGATTAATTCTCATTTTTCCTTCATGTTTTAGAAGCACACATTTTACAATAGCAATCATTACCTTGGGACTGCAAGTTTAGCATTTCTGAGTTGTAATTTCTCTGTCTATAATTAGCTATATAAGCCTGGACAAATCACTTAAATCAATCTGTCTCAGTTTCCTCCATCTGTAAAAATTGATATTATAATCCTGACAACACCTAAGAGTGGTGGTGCAATAATTAATTTATGTGTATACAGTACTTTGAAAACGAGATATGCTAAGTATAATTAGATAATGAAAAGTAACCACACAAGAACGAAACATACCTAGGTGGCTCACTGAATCAGTTATAATTCTAAATGCAATACATAAGATTTGCAACCTCTTCTGAATTAATACCCATCTAACTGTATCATGAAATGAGAAATATTCTTGCACTTTGTCTCTCTTCTTACTTGAAAAATGCTGCAAAATTAGAGTGATAATTCATCTCCTCTATTTAAAATACTTTCTAAGTGCCTTAACAAGTCACTGTTACTCCAAAACTATGGGCTGGGATGGGGGACAGGATGTTCAGAAAAATTACCACCCATTCCTTCCCACGAACTTTTTAGGATATCAGTGTGACACTACATCCCATATTCTTCATAGAGATATGGTTATTATATGATTATGTCATAACTAAGATGGGTTTTATGCAATATGGGTCATGTGAGATATCGTTGGAAAGGTTATGATTTACTGAATATGATTATCCTATTTCTATGCGTGTATCATTTTTGTATCTGAAGTTAGGAATATTATCTATGCATCTCTTACACATGTGTTTGCACCTGAGGAACACCCACTGGACAGAATGCAAATCATTCCAGATGGCAGGTTGGGAAAGGCCATTAGGGGGAACAATAGGTCTTTGAAGATGCTAATCTCCCACTAGGGAGCCTTCCTGGGGATGCTGCAAACAGCCTCTGAGTTATGGCTGCAGGGACATGTGACCAAGTCACCTGGTACTGGACTCCATGATGATACTAGTGTTTTTCCACTGATTGGGTGGTGGGGTGGGAATCACACTGGGAGACAAAGGATTCCCACCATATGCAAAAACTATTTAAGGCAGGGGAGTGACATCATCAAGGTTGGTTCTTCATTGACTCCCCGCCCAAGAAAAAGGACTGCTGGAAATACCTGAAAACAAAAAGACTGGACTAGGAGAGAAGGGCTGAGCCCAGGCAAGAGGACTGTCTAGCCTGTGAAAGAAATATCAGGAGTTTTAAGCTGCAA